TATATGGTCGGCTTCGCCCGACTATAATTTCTTACTTGTTTTAAAATAGATTAAATTATATGAACGATCGAACACAAACCTATAGTTCTTTTAGAAACTGAGCGATATGTAATAGGTATAAACTTTTTGATACTTATGTACATATATAATATTTCTTTATACACACCATCAAAAAATATGGGGGTATATTGATTTTGTCATTTAGTTTCTAACACATCGAAATATTGATCATAGACCCACACAAGTATATATATTCTGGGTACTTATTAAATTCTAAGACGATCTAGCCATGTCTGTCCGTCCGTCTGTTGAAAGCACGATAGAGTCCGAACGGAAAGAGCTACAGAGTTGAAATTTTCCACAAATATTTCTTATAGGTAAGGTTTGTTTGGTATTGAAAATAGGCCACATATCGGACCACGTTTTCGCATATCACCCATACAAATGGCCCCCCGAAAAACAGCTTTAACAGTCATAACTGTTTTAAAAATGCAATTATAGCGATGAAATTCGACATAAATAAGTTTTTATGAGGATCGGTCCATAATTGACCCTAACCCTCATGTAACGCCCATAACTGGCTTAAAAATACTAGCGTTTAAATTCGATATAAGTAAGTTTCTTACAAGCAAAAATCTATGTACCGAATTTTATGAGGATCGGTTCTTAAATTACCCTACCCCCATATAAGTTCCCCCTTAGAAAATGACTTTAACGCTCACTACTGGCTTGAAAATAAGAGTACAGCGCTGAAATTCAAAATAAGTAAGTTGCGAGCAAATCTCTATACCGAATTTTATGAGAATCGGTCCATAATTGACACTATCCCCCATATGTGACCCCCTTCAGAAAATGACTTTAACACACATTACTGGCTTAAAAATGCGATATATAGAAGTATGTTTCTTACAAGCCAAAATCTCTCTACCTAATTTTATAATTGACCCTACCGCCCATATATGTATGTTCATGGTTTAAAAGTTGGACAAAAATATTTTGTTTTTAAAAATTAATATTTTGTTAATCCGAAAGGGTTGTGTCCATAATTGACTTAAGCCCTCTTTCAAATATCAACCTCATGTTTATAGGGGAGCATTCCATTTACGGCATACGGTTTGATGGTGGGTATATAAGATTCGGCATAGTCGAATATAACACTCTTACTTGTTTTTATTACGTTTCAATTTATTAGCATTTAATAATTAATAAAACAATAACTATTTTAATTAATAATTAATTCATTAATTTTCAGCTTAATTAGACATAACTATTGCTTTGTTATCATTAAATTATATAATTTTTGTATTCAAAATTTTTCTATATAAAGTGAAAATTGTTTATAATTATTTTATAAAGAAAAAAGTAATCATGAAGTGTATCATATTAGTCGTGGGAGTTTTAGCTATCTTGGCTTTAGCTCAAGCTCAGGTAACAAAATGTATTTCGTAAAAAGTCGAGAGGTTATATATCTCTTTATAGAGGATGTATTATATTAAACATTCGTAAATATACAAATAGGATGAAGCTGCTCAAGATCCACAATCGGAACAATCCGATACGGAACAATCCAATTCAGAACAGGTACCACCGTCTGAAGAAGAACCACAAGCCGAAGAAGGTCAAAGTGAACATCATCATCACAAACATGGACATCCTAGACCACCGAAACGTACACCAGTTTTCGGCATTGGATTCCATTTTGATACTGGAAAATAGATATATAATTGATAACTAATAATTAAATGAAGATTGCATAAAAATTATATTTGAGTTTTATTTTCATTATTCTAATTTAATTGCAGGTTATAACTTTTCCATATAATTTTGTGAAATTTAAGACAAAGATTTCTTTTAGTCCAAGGATTAGAATTATTGAAACTGATTGAAATCTAAAATAGGTCATCATGGCTTATAATTAAGTTAAACTGGTAATACCCATGTGTATTAGGGGTGTAATTAACGACTGGCTTTTACAAATTCCGGTATTGCAATCCGGTGATACCAGGATATTTCGGGATTACATAAAATGAAATGGAAATAAAATGATTGAGTCTATTTCAACTCTTGAAAGTAGAATGAATCTACTTTTCAACAAAAATTAGTTAATAATGGGGTTTTGTACTATTAAACCTTATATGTATATTTCATTTATATTCCAATATACCGAATCTTACATACCCGTACCGAAAAGTCTACTTTTTTCACATCATGTCACGTACTATTAAGTGCCTATTTCTCGAGACTATGGTCTTGGCAAAAAAAGTCCATAAAAGAATAATAGGAAACACAATTTCCTCACCAAACGAGTTTAAATTTTTTATCATATTTGTTTCGATCATATCTCCAATACTTATGACCGATTTTTCTCGTTTTTAATAGGTAAATTTAAAAAAAAAAACAAAAATTTGGATTCCGAAGATATAGTATGTGGTGTTCAAAATACTGATTTTAATAAACCGAAGGACAGACAGTTGGTGCATGAACATTTTTTTTATCCCTAATTTACATACTCATAACTGAGGGTATCATATGTTTGGTCATAACTGACTATATAATTTCTTTATTTCTTTTCAATTCAAATGAATTTGTTAAAGTGAATTGCATTTGAATTGAAAACGATTTGCAATAAATAGTTAAAAGTTCATGAATATTATCTCTCTGTTATTCGGGACATTTTTAAACTCAGTAAAATTATAAAAATTCCCTTTATACTTTTACAATAAGTTTTATTACATATTATTTAAAAATGGTCACATTTTCACAAATAAATTAAGGAATATAAAGAATTACATATACATACGTATTGTTTACGAAAATATCATCTAATAAAAGAATCCTGGTCGTGCTGGTTGGATACCTTCAGGATCTTCTATTCGATGACTTAAAGGATATTTTTTGTCTGCCTGATCCATCGGATATTGGTGGTTTTACAAATATACATACATACATACATACGTATATATATGTTAAACTTTTAACATGAGCTTTGCTGAGGACCAAGAGAAGATTTTGAGTATGAACGAAATATTACAGTATTTATATATAAGGGTAACTGAAGGCGCAACAAAAATAATATTGTCCGTCATCTTAATAAATATACAAATTTTAAATATTTATATTTAACAAAGTTAAATATTTATTTAGTTCATAATATTTGTTCAAGTGCTTTTTGATGCATATGTAATGTCCCTTCATACTTTTTATACCCACCATCAAAAAAGAATGGGGTATATTGTTTTTATCATTCCGTTTGTAACACATTGAAATATCCATCTAAGACCCATAAAAGTATATATATTCTGGGTCCTTATTAGATTCTAAGACGATCTAGCCATGTCCGTCTGTCTGTCTGTTGAAAACACGATAGAGTTCAAACGGAAGTAGCTAGCGAGCTGAAATTTTGCATAGATACTTTTAGTTGCAGTTTGTTTGGTATTGAAAATGGGCAATATCGGTCCACGATTTCGCCTAGGCAGAACTTTAACTACTTTATTGCTCATAACTGGTTAAAAGAAGCATCAATATCGGTGAAATTCGGCACCAACACGTTTTATATGAACATAAATCTCTTTGTAAGATTTTAGAAGAATAGGCCCATAATTGACCCTACCCCCCATATAAAGTCCCCTTCACAAAATGACTTTAACGCTCGTAACTGTCTAAAAGAAACATCTATAGCGGTGAAATTCGACAGGAACATATTTTATAGGAACGTAAATCTCTTCGTAAAATTTTATAAGGATCGGTCCATAATTGACCCTACCCTCCATATAAGGTCCCCTTCAGAAAATGACTGTAGTGCTCATATCTGACCTTAAAAAGCATATATAGCAATGAAATTCGACATAAAAAAGCTTTAAAGGAACTAAAATCATTTTCATAAATTTTATGAGGATGGGTCCATAATTGACCCTACCCCCATATAAGGTCCCCTTCAGAAAATGAGTTTATTTAAAAGGATGCATTCCTTTTCGGCAATGTTTTGATGGTGGGTAAACAAGATTCGGCACAGCCGAATATAACATTCTTACTTGTTCAAACTATATTTACACCCTACACTGTATATCGGTTTGTGCTAATGTTTGTATTGTCTATTAAAAATGGGCAATATAAAGCCACCAAATTCGGCTTAGGAAATCATGAGTACTTATGTATATTAAAGATTTTAGTATCTCTGACAAAATCTGCACAACTAAGTCTACCATATAAATAAACTTTGATTGAATAGGGCTTTTAATGAGGTCTTATGTCAACTTAGACCGAGCTCTTCAGAATTAAAAAATATAAATTCTTAAAAACAATAATTTTTGTCCGCTCTTTATAAAATTTAGAAAATAAATTTCGGTTGGTTTAAAACATATAGTGGATCCTTATGGACCGATCCTTATAAAGTTTTGTACATAGATTTTGGTCGAATCTATACTATATACACGTTTTTTTTAAGCTAGTGATGAGAGTTAGTCATTTTCTGAATGAGGCCTTATATAGGGAATGGTTACGGACCGATCTTCATACAATTTGTTAAGGGAGGTTTCGGTTAATATAAAACACGTTTATGTCGTTTTTCATCATTATACTATTTTTTAAGTCAGTAAAGAGCCTTAGAAGTCATTTTCCGAAGGGTAGAGGCAGTTAAGGACCAAACTTCATAAAATTTGGTAGAGATTTCGATTGATATAAAATATGTCTGTGACGAATTATTCGCATTTTTAAATTAGGAAATAGCGTTAATATTTCTTAAGGATGCCTTATATGGGGGAAAGGCCCAAAATGTAGTAAAGATATTTTGGTTCCTATTAAAATCATACTGAATTTCATTACTGTAATGAGCCAGTAAAACGCTCATTTTCTAAAGGGGACCTTATAAAGGGGGGTAGGGGCAATTAAGGACCGGTCCTTATAAACATTTTTAGAGAGATGTCCCTTTATGCATATGGAATACATATACATATATACCTACCATTTTATAGTGGTTTATAAATAAGTTAACAAATTTGAAATCTATTTTTGCCAACAGTTCTTAAGAAATTTTATTTTAATCTAAAAGAAGTTTTTTTTTCCATTTTCCATAAGCCAAAATGCATTAATGAATTTCCTGTTTAAAATAATGGAATACGTGGGCGTCGTGGGGGAATGCCTTCAGAATTTCCATTGTCAGCTTGTTGATCATCATTAGGCTGAGGCCTTGGAATACGATGTCCATGGATAATTCTACCAGGTCTGCCGGGTCTTGGAGGCCTTTCAGGTCCTTCAGGTCTTAGTGGTCGTTGTGGTTTAGGTTCCTCAGCAAGTTCATCAGAAGATTCATTAGAAGATTCGTCAGAAGATGGTGCTGGTGAGGACTCTTCTTCCGATTGTTCAGCTTGATTAGATTCTTCCTATATATAATATACATAAATATGTAAAGATTTATTTATGTACGCATATTTTCAAATTATATAAAATAAGGAAAATAGAAAAATCCTTACTTGAGCTTGCGTTAGGGCCAAAAGGGCCAACACAACTGCAATTGCAACGAGAACTTTCATGATTATTTGTTGAATTTTTAATGTGAATCTGATATCGTTTTTATATCAATTTAACAGATCTAATATCAAATTGAATATTGTCATCATATTAAAATTCACTATTTATTGACAATTGGATTTAGCATTTGTTATAATATATAATATTAGAACAAGTGCCAAATGCAATTTACTTAATTGAAAATATATTAATATAGATAAGTTTTTATTTGAACAATTGCATTTAGAAACACACATAATTATAAATATTTAGAATGTAAAAAATGTTAATATCTAGAGTGGACTATATGTACGTTGGAGCTAGTATAACACAGGAAGTATATAGAAACAACTTTCAGAGGAAGATTAAGAAAGGGTAAAGTCAATAGTTTGATAATTGTAGCATATGAAACAAATTTTACAAACAATACTAAATTAAAAAAAACGTTTGATGTTAAATCATATACAGCGTAATTTGAGAGAAATTTCGTTTTCAAATTATCGATATAAAAATGCCAAACATATGTATTATATTTTCCCATCGGTATGATTTTGAATAATATTTGATTTAATTCCTCGAGTTCATATTCTCTAGGACGTTCATCTTTTTGGAGGTGGGTATTAATTTTTGAAGAATTTAAATCCGAAGATGCCACGAGTCTGTTAACCGCACAAAACAGTGAGTTATTATGTATGTAATTAAATCTGTAGGGTCTGTTGTGAGTTTGTTTTACTACTTATGCGCCAATTTTTATTATTAAGAGATCTGTTAAAACTGAAACATGTCATTATGCGAAAAATATCGAACATTCCCAGTTAAAACTCGGTAAAAACGTTTACTAACACAACAACTTACTTTTAAATGACAACTAACTACCTACCGTCTGTTATACATTTAAGTACACTTATAATTACTTACATATAATTAGATACGTAACGTTTCATCAAGTCAAAGACTCCAGGATCAAGAGTACCCGAACGGCAGTACTCTCCACAGAACCTCTATAGATAATATCACCAGCCAGCACGGCCGTAACACGTTCACGTCTAATGCGCCTGTTTTGTCTATATGTATTGTATCCCCTTATGTCAAATCCGTGGTGAGAACATAAACAGTGCTCTATCAATAGTACTACGTCCGGTTAATGTTCCCGCAGGAACAAATCCAAATAACAAAGATTATCCTTATTGTCCTAGCCATCATGCGCTAATGCCATCAACATTCCAAGTAAGGCACGCGTCTTGTCCCCGTTATTGTCCAAAGTCTGGTATTCTCTAGCAAATCGTCCGATCTTACCTAAAATTTTCAAAAAACCACCCACTAATAAACTTAAGCTGTCTTTGTGTTATAAGTCATATTGAGCCTTAGAACCCTCCAATGAAAGTCCGGCCCCTACCGAATTTGCAGACCCCTTTTAAAACCAAGTTCATAGCAATAGGCATGCTACGGGCACGCGAGTTATCCCCAGTGGCCTTCCTTTCATACAACTTGCGGAGAAGCTCCGCCCTGCGTGGACAGTCATTCGAACTGGCCACATGCCCCACCGTCCCACAGTTAACGCATTTAACCGGCAAACCGACTGTCCTAGTTACCATTCCAGTGGCAGGATCAGTGGCTAATATCTCCTGGTTAGTATCCCTCTTGCGCGGGACAGGACATTCGCCCGGGCCATGGTACTTTGCACACTTAACACACCTATATGGCATGTGGCAATTAGATGAAACTAATGGTAAGTACTTGCTTCCAATATAAGTAGTAAGAAGATAATAAGTTTTTGCTGGGTTATTCATGAAAGAAACGGTGTACGACTTTGTTCCGATATAGACTGAGAGGAGTTGAATTTATGCACAGCTTCTTGACATGATTCTAACGATGTCAAAACCTCCATCAAAAAAAAATTCAAACTTTTTTCATGCTCCCAAGTTGAAGAAAATCTGGATTTAGTTATATGAGCAATTTCATGTCAACTTTTAAAATCGATGTCTTCCGAAGTGGATGAAATTTGCACCAAGGTTAGTACTATTGGATAGTAAGCCAGATACAAATTTTCAGCTCTATCGATTTTTTGAGTTGGGTCACAATTGCCCATATAAATATATCGGTTACCATGAAATTTTTTAGAGAGATTTTATTGCTTATGGTTAAAACTTTACGATTGTTATACATTTTAGGCCACTAGCTCCTCCCGTTTGTGACCTATGGTGATTTCAACAGAAAAGCAATAGTCGGACATGGCTTGATCGCTTTATAGTATTTAGAATCAATATTTCGGAATTAAAAAATCAATAAAATAAAATTGGATAATAAATAAATATTCTAGAATGATGACAAGTCTAAATATTTGTTCGTGGTTTAAATATTAAAATGATGCCTGTTTTCAAACCCAATTACATTATTCTTCAGTTAGGCTTCGAATAGAAAAATAACTTTTAATTAATATTTACTTTCTAGAAGGTTAACAAATTCAATAGGCAAATTAATAAATTAATTTTTTCTTTAAATATTTAAGTATTAATTAGTTAATTGTAAATAATTTCATATTACATTCTAATATTGAAAATAATAAATGTACATTACATTCCATCTATACAAATTGTTATCTAGGGATATCTTTTAAAATATTTATTATTTTTTAGAGTATTAAATATTCCAGATTTTTTAAAATTTGTCTAATTTATTTAGGATTTTATTTCAATTGTTATACATAGAAGTTGGATTACTAAGTCGGTGAAACTGTGCTGATTTTTTAAGTAGAGTACCTCATAATTCGACTTCAGCTGTTTAAATATTGTATTTTAATGAATTGATATTTTTTTGCAAAAAACCTTTATAAATACAAGTAAAAACGGTTTTAATTAAAAATTTTACAAAAATGAAGTTATCCATTGCTTTAGGCATTTTAACAGTTTTTACTGTTGTTCATTCTTACCCCCAACGAAGAAGAGAATATAACAGTAACTCTCCTCCAGATAGTAATGCAATAAGTGAGAACGGTAATCCAGCATTGGTCTTAAATAGTAATCGGAATAATGGATTCGAATACAACTTTGAAGGTTACCACAAAGAAAACTCTAAGACAACTGAAGTAAAAGATCCTGAAGGCAGTGTTTATACTGAACACAGTAAAAGGGAGTCAGGAATAGTTGCAAAAAAACAAGATCGAGGAACTATTAATGATAATGACAAATATGTTAAAGTTGAAAATAGGAGAAGGGAAAAGAGACAAGCTGAGGATAATGATGGATATGTAAATAATAAAGAAGTAGATGAAGAGAAACATGAAAATAAGAATAAAAAGGATAAAAACATAGAAACTAACAAAGACGATGGTGCGAAAAAAGACAAGAATGGCAACGGAGCTACAGATCAAGAAAAAAATTCAGATGTAATAGATGGTAACGAAAGTGCAGATCACAAAGATGGCGAAGGTAATAATAAAGATGTTATTCAAAATGATAAGGATCAGAATGATGACGAAGAAGAAAAGAATGATAATAAAGCTCCAGATCCTAACAATAATGAAAAACATAACAATGATAATGGAGCTGAAAATAATAAAAATGACAAGGGAAATGATCTTAATGAAGACGATCATAAAGAAAACAAAGAGGAAAGTGAAAACAATTCTAATCTAGATAAAAATGAAGATAATGACAACGGAAATCCAGCTCAAAATAATGATGAAGATAAGGATGTTAATCAGGATAATAATAAAGATACTAAGAAAGACGAAGGTGAGCAAAAAGACAACAATTCGAATGATGACAAAGTTCCCAATACTAACAAGAATGAAGATCATAACAACGATAATAAAGCTCAAAATAATAAGGAAGACAAAGATAACGAAGACGTGGAAGTTAGGAAAACAGACAATGAATCGAATGATAACAAAGTTCCAGATTCAAACAATAATGAAAAACATAACAATGATGATGGAGTTCAAAATAATAAAGATGACAATGGAAAGGATGTTAAAGATGTTGACCATAAAGAAAACAAAGAGGAAGGTGCCAACAATTCTAATACAGATAAAAATGTAGATAATGACAACGGAAAACCAGCTAAAAATAATGATGAAGATAAGGTTGTTAATCAGGATAATAATAAAGCTACTAAAAAAGACAACAATTCGAATGATGACAAAGTTCCAGATACTAACAAGAATGAAGATCATAACACCGATAATGAATCTCAAAATAATAAGGAAGACAAAGATAACGAAAACGTGGAAGTTAAGAAAACAGACAACGAATCGAGTGACAACAAAGTTCCAGATTTAAACAATAATGAAAAACATAACAATGATAACAAAGATGACAAGGGAAAGGATGTTAAAGATGTTGACCATAAAGAAAACAAAGAAGAAGGTGACAACAATTCTAATCCAGATAAAAATTTAGATAATGACAATGAAAATCCAACTCAAAATAATGATGAAGATAAGGATGTTAATCAGGATAATAATAAAGATACTAAGAAAGACGAAGGTGAGCAAAAAGACAACAATTCGAATGATGACAAAGTTCCAGATACTAACAAGAATGAAGATCATAACACAGATAATGAAGCTCAAAATAATAAGGAAGGCAAAGATAACGAAGACGTGGAAGTTAAGAAAACAGACAATGAATCGAGTGATAACAAAGTTCCGGATTCAAACAATAATGATAAACATAACGATGATGAGGGAGCTCAAAATAATAAAGATGACCAGGGAAAGGATCTAAATGAAGACGATCATAATAAAAACAAAGAAGAAGGTGACAACAATTCTAATCCAGATAAAAATTTAGATAACGACAATGGAAATACAGCTCGAAATAATGATGAAGAAAAGGATGTTAATCTGGATAATAAAGATACTAAAAAAGACGAAGGTGAGCAAAAAGACAACAATTCGAATGATGACAAAGTTCCAGATACTAACAAAAATGAAGATCATAACACCGATAATGAATCTCAAAATAATAAGGAAGACAAAGATAACGAAGACGTAGAAGATAAGAAAAACGAAAAGGAATCGAATGATAACAAAGTTCCAGATCCAAACAATAATGAAAAACATAACAACGATGATGGAGCTCAAAATAATAAAGATGACAAGGAAAAGGATATTAAAGAAGACGACCATAAAGAAAAAGAGGAAGGTGACAACAATTCTAATCCAAATAAAAATGAAGATAATGACAATGAAAATCCAGCTCAAAATAATGATGAAAATAATGATAAGGATGTTAATCAGAACGAGCAGAAACATGACAACGATAAAAACAAAGACAAAGATGAACAAAAAAACACCAATTCGAATGATGGCAAAGTTCCTGACAAGAATGAAAAACATGATAACCATGATGTGTCTCAAAATAATAATGAAGATAACCAAGAGGAAGATGGGGAAAACGACGATGATGAAGATTATGACTATGAAGATGAAGATAACGATGATGATGAAGACGATGATAATGATAATAATGAAGACGAAGATGACGGCGAGGACGATGATGAAGAGGAGGATGACGACGACGATGAGTATGATTATAATTATGAAGACGATAATTATGATGGTGAAAATGACGAGGATGAAGATTATGACTATGAGTATGAAGATAATGATGAAGACGATGACAATGATGAAGACGATGATAATGATGAAGGCGAAGATGACGACGAGAATGAATATGATTATGAAAATTATGATGAAGATGAGAACAACAAAGAAAATGTGCTTTATATATTTGACAATATTGTAGAATTTAAAACGGATCATTTCTAATAAATTGCAATTTAAATTTGTTTGAATAACACATTTCTTTTGGGGTTTCTTTAAGTATTTAGATTTATAAAACTAGATTATTTTCATTTTAAACTGTCACTTAACGAGATCGAAATATTTTACACTAAGTTACCTTTTAAACACCATGAAATTATAAATAAAAGAATGTGAATTTATTAAATTATGAATATGTTCAACCTATTCCGAAGTAATTTCCAAATGTCGGGAATAAATGATGAAAAAGTGTTTAGGGTTAAAGTATGTAGTTATAAGGATGTGAATGATTTAGTTTTAAAAAGTCCTCTCTTTTTATTCAGTTATAATTTACTATTTATATGTATACAGACAGAATTCATTTAAAAATTTAAAGTTTTACTTCTTCAATCCCTAACTAGTGATGATAGAGATATTGTAGACATCTAAAAACTCGATCCTAATTTTGCCGAAATAATAATTACGACAATTCTGATAATAATTATAATAGAATTGCATTTTTTGATTGCAGCAAGTTATTTATTAAAATATATTGAATAAAATTTTAAAAACAAATACATTAATGCTTTCTTTAGAAAAACCATAACAGTTTATCTACCAGGTCCACCAAAACCGAAGCCTAGTCTTCCAGGACCACCAAAAGCTCCTTGATTTCCAAAACGACCAAATCCACCTGGTCTAATAGCGCTACCAAAACCTCCTTGATTTCCTAGACGACCAAATAAACCTTGTCCAGTAATTGGACCACCAAATCCTCCGAAAACTGGTGGCCCTCTAGGTCTTTCGTGTCTACCATGATCATCTGGTTTTCCATGATGATGATGATGTCCTGGCTTAAATGGTGGTAATGGAAATGGTAATAGTGGTAGTGGTGGTCTTGGTCTATTTTCTTTTTCCTCTAGATTATTTTGCGAGTTATTTTCAGTTGAACTTTCTGAGTTACTTTCACTAGTACTTTCCGAATTGCTCTCAGTGGTACTTTCCGAGTTACTCTCGCTGGAACTTTCCGAATTACTCTCACTGGTACTTTCCGAGTTACTCTCGCTGGCACTTTCCGAACTACTTTCACTTGCACTTTCCGAACTACTTTCACTTGCACTTTCCGAACTACTCTCACTGGCACTTTCCGTGGAACTTTCACTAGCAGCTGCTACAGTTGTTTCATCTGATGCTTCAGTTGTAGACTATAAAAATAAATTAATATGTTATTAGTGAAATATGATATTGGAAAAATGAATTTTGATTACATACAGAATCAATAGCTTGGCAAACTGCCAAGAGAGCTATAATTCCAACAATTACTGTGAGATACTTCATGGTTAATGAAATGCAAATCTAACAATATTTCATTTCAATCCAGTTTATATATCTTTTTAATCGCCATAAAATACTCTTCAACATTGTAATTTTTATTTGCTTATTTATTTAAAAGTTGTCGTAAACACTCATGGTTTTTAGAATTGTAGTAATTTTTTTTTTGCAGTTATCATTACGCAGTTGCAATTTCTAACGTCATTATTAATTGAAAAATATGTTCACATTTTATGTAACAAGATATTATGTTACTTTTAATGTGTAATTGAGCAATAACCAATTACAATTACATCTAAATGTAATTAGTTTCGCAAAATACATTTACTTGTAATTGTTATTGAAGTTTACAAATTACAAATACTTGTAATTGTAATTTAGATATTATTAATTGGTTATTGCACAATAACACATTACAAATAATTGAATTGGCAAAACTTGAAATACAAGTAATTGTTATTTGTAAAGCTTTAATTACAATTACTTCAAATGTAATTATAATTGAAAATCGAATCATTACCCCCAAGCCTGTCACAGAGTACTTTTATAAACACATCAATATTATTACGTGAATTATTATCGATTGATTTTCGTATCCAGACCCACTGTAAAAGCTTTGTCAATTATGATTGAAACTCACACGTATTGTAATTCCCAAATAGTTTATATAAAAGCGGGCAAGAATCAGAGTGCCGATTTACATAGTTAAACTTTGTTCCCGGGTAATTAAAGATAACTAGACAAGGTTGAAATTCTTACTTTATACTAAAATCGAGCATCCGTATTCATATTTTCCCACAATTCGCGCTGGATTACATTTCATGGCCAGTCTTAGCCTACCATTCCTAGTTACATAACTAACGAGATCTGTAGAATTTATTTTATCAGATGCATACTCAGTTATAATTTCCCCTAATTAATAGAGTAAAGAAACTTAGCATATTTTATAACGATACTGAAATTGTTACTCGATCCTTAAATGGGGGCTAACCCAGTTATGGATCAAGCGGAACATTTTATTATTTTAAACATATTAAAACAAGGGTATTATCTTTAATTCCTACATATTATAACGTTTTTTTTTAAGATAAACTTTCTAAGAGAGGCCTTTTAAGTGGGCCAGAGTTAATAATGGACCTCGATTCTTGTAATAAACGTGATTTTCAAAAGTTAATATTATATAGTGTCAAAATTGCATCCTATAGACATTGACAGGCATATCTTATCACTATGGTATTTTATTTCCATATTTCTGGTTTCCCTGCTTATCAGATATTTAATATATGTATCTTTTTAAATTTTTTATTAGATAAGAAATATACAGTATTCAAAGTGAAAAACATGTTTATCAAAATGAAAAAACATTTACTTGGCGAAACACTTGCGAAAAGTTTACAAAATATTTGTTCAAGTGGTTAAATAATTTTAAATATTGTAAAAATAACTTACGTGTTTAAATATTTTCCATTTAATATCGGTTAATAGAAAGTTATTTGTATAATCTGTTGTTGTTATAGTAATATTTATACTAAATGTTTATACTATATGGTTGGCGACCGTTATCGCTATGCTATCATTAACGCTAAAATACCTTTTCACCACTACTACCGTTACCGCTAAAACATCAATAACAAATTAAGTCTAAATACCGTTATCTCAAAAATACGGACATCGAAATAATCCAAAATGCCGATAACAATAAGACCGCTTTCCAAAATAAGCAAAAATGCCATATGGTCAATTATGGACAGATACTCGAAAAATTTAGTACAGAGATTTTGGTTCGTAAGAAACTTACTTATATCGTATTTCATCGCTATACTCGGTCTTGTATAGGCACTATGCAAAATGTAGACTGATATTGTCCATTTTCAATAACAAACAAACCTTACCTATAGGGAATATTTGTCTAAACTTATAACCCTCTAGCTCTTTACATTCGGATTCTATCGCGCTTTCAACAGATAGACAGACGGACATGGCTAGATGTCCAGAATATATGTATATATATACTTTTACGGGTCTATGACCAATATTTCTTTTTTGATGGTGGATATGAAAACTGATAACGCTGAAATACCTTCACCGAAATAAGTTTAAATACCGATACCGCATATTTTTACAGTTTTGAAACGTTTGAATTGTTTTATATCTGGCAGTTGGGAGGATATGTACATTAGGGTTATAACCAAAATTAGGCCCTATCACTATATGTTAGCCAGTAGTGTTTTAATAACGAAAATAAAGGAGGCCTTATATGAGGACATGGACATATCTTTTTAAAATTTAATAGATATTTTAGTTCCTAAAATACTTACTTTTGTCAAATTTTATCGCAATACCGTTATTTTAAAATCATGATTTTTCTGAGGGGGATCTTTTATGGGGGATAGGAATAGAGATTTCGGTAAATACAAAACATGTTTGTGTCGAATTTTAACTTTCTAATTGCATTTTAGGTCTTAGTCCAATATTAGTAATGTGTGTTGGTGGTGGATATAACAAAATATTATCAATTGATAAAATGAGTTTCAATTGTGTATATCAAGTTCCACTTCCGAATAATTCTCTGATCCAAATTCAAATAAACAAATTTAAAATTAAGTGAATTACTTTTTATATATTTTTTTTTCATAAAACTATTTATTTACACTTCTAGTTACTCATATTAGTTTAAATTAAGAACATTGTATTAAATTAAAGAAATAATTTTTAAAGTTATGATTAGTACACATTTTAAATTATATAATTTAAATATTTTAATATAGATTTTTTATAAATTCACTTAAACAATGTTGATAAATACCTAACAAATACATTATTTATAATAAATAATTATTTATTTATTTTTTATAAATATTTACAATTTCTTCTTAAGAGACTAGGACTAAAGATTTAAAGTATCTTAATGTTAAACATATTTATATATTTAGATACGTACAACAATTTATTGCCAAGAAAACACATTAATTTTTAAGTAAAAATATCGTTATTTAAATATTTAGATTAACAGAAATATCCGCGATATTTATGTATAAATATATAGATAAACTTATTCTAAATATATCTACAAATTACAAATTTACTCGTATCGATACGAGTATTTTTTTGATATTATTCAGTGTTATATGACTTAAATAAAAAAAACTAAGGATCTATTTCATGTAATAACTACTGGGTGCCCGTCCCGATGTATACGTACTCATGGGTATACCTTGTGGACCCGGTATATGATGATTACCCATGTGCGAATGTGTTGTCGACTGATTCTGTGAGCCGTATAGACGATCTACACTAGAACTACCAATACCATTGGCCGATGGTTCATAGTCAACATCATAATAAATACCAGATTGATTCTGAAATAAGATAACAACCAAATTAACAATATATATTTGGAAAAGACTAATATTAAGTAGAAAGAATTCATCAAAAATGTCCTAATTTCTCAATGATCAGGAAATACTTCTACAACTTACCGTTATGCTACCATTGCTTCGACTTTTCGGCCGTGGTACTTGGAAATTTCTACCCAACAAATCGGTACGATCTTCTTCTTCGCTAGAGCTTGAATTTTCTAATGTTCTCATACCTGCGTTACGCGAATTTAACCCCAAACTGTAAGTACAAATAGATAATAGAAATATTTCATTACAATTAGAAACTCTCGACTAAAGTAAATAATACGCACTCATACCGTGGTAGGGGAACTGGCGGTGCCATGGTATTACTTTGATGCATTTGTTGCATAGTACTTTGCATAGACATCCCACCAATCGTACCCATACCCATTGTACCCAATGTCTGTAAATTAGGATAAGCAAACATGGCCGATGAAGGTCGTGTAGGTCCACCAATAGGTTCAGCCTATAAAGAGACAAAAATAACATTATTTATTTAAATAAATTTGAAATTATACGATTACCCCATAGTGATTGGTTTGTGCCATAACATCGGCAATTTGGGCCCAACGCATACGATCTTCTAAGGTAACTTGATAACCCGGTTGTGGTAAAGCGGCTGACTTTAAAGGTGCTGTATTCATATAACCAAATACTGGTGATCCAATGGCATTCTTTTGTTCCCTTTGCCATCTACGTGACCACATTATCAAACAGATCAATGTCAGTACTATGATAATAACTGCAGCAACTGATGCTCCTATGGCTACTCCCAAAACTTCGCCATCAATTTCACATTGTCCTCCATAATGACTGGAATCACAGGTACACACTTGATTTCCCTCTTCATTGTAACTACAAACACCACGATTATTGCAATAGGCTTCCGGGCAAGTTTGACATTCTCTTCCCGCACGACTAGGTTGATCATACCAAGGATCTTTAGTGCCCTCCTGGCAAGTGCAACGGAAACTACCCCAAATATTTGCACATGTAGCTGTGGGATGACAATCGTTTAACTCACTCATTTGACATTCATCCAAGTCTCTTAAAGCCGATATAGCACCCTCGGGTGAACTGACATATAGTACTGAATTGCCAATATTATTGTTGCGTCTATGCAGTACTCCTAGTAAATGTTTTTGAACATCAGTACGCAGATTAGGACGCAGTGTTTCAACGCTTTCATCCAACTAGTATAGGAATATTTAAAATGAAAAAGAAGAAGAAGAAACCCATTTAAAATGTTAAAAATGTTAGATATAGCAGAAACTTACCTTAATTGTTAAATTGACATAAACACCACTGCCTCCTAAATTGGGATCTCCTCGATATATATTATTGACTTTGGCATCCATGAATTCATCTGAATAGGGTGTCATCGACATGGCTGAATCAATCTGTTTTTGTAGCAAATAAAAAATATATTAAAATCTAATTAAATCGTGTTTTAATATATATCTTTACAAGCTTTTATTGAACTTGCTATATTAGTTTCTAAGGATTAAAATTCTGAATTTTGAACCAGTTCCCGTAGAATATTTGAAATCATAAATATACACCAAATTTCTCATTGTCAATATACTTAATTTCGGTAAGAGGGTTATTTAGGAGAAAAATTCAACTTTCCAACCCATTGGAACCTATCGTGCTTTATCATACATAAGAACGGACATGGCTAGATCCAGAATATACTTTTGTTGATTTAAGAACAATACATACATATATCGATGTGTTACAAACAGTGTAACATCAGACTTATTTAAAATTGGTGCATAAATGTTTCTGAAAATATTTAAAAGCAAAAAAATTTATGAAAAAGTAACTTACAGCTCTAATGGACTCAAAACTCAATTGACTAAATGGCTCACTATTACGATCGGCCAGTTTATTATCCCAAACGATGCGATGTTCATAAATTCTATCAACACGCATGCCTATATAGAATGTTATCACACGGCGACAAGGTTCCCGATGTTTGCGTCGGGAATAGCCTAAAGAAACACAAATTAGATTCTTTTAAATAATACAATTTTTCAAAAATAATAACTTACCCGGTCTACAGTGACAACTTGATACACCATTTTCCGTTTTACAATGTTCATGTTGAGCCTGATCACAGGTCGAATCATCTCCCACAATGCAGGTATCAATGCGCACTGGCGGTTGAGTGGTACGTGGTCTGTAGTGAGGTCTAGCCGGTCCGGCGTTAGTGGTTGTCGGAGGCTGCTGTTGTGGTTTAACATGTTGCGGTTTATTTGTGTGAATATCAACAATTTCCGTTTCCGCTACACCATATCCTGAACCGGGTGAGTTTTGTTGCGTTACCGGGGATGCTGGAGAATTAGCACTACCATCACCAAGAGCACTACCAGTACTACTAATTGGCTTCGAGGTTGAGCTCGAGCTACCACTACCCGGCAGCTGGGGTATAGCTGTGGCTGGTGTTGAGGGCAATTGAACGCCTGTCGGAGGATCTGTGGGATCACCAAAAAGATTGATGTAAGTACGTTTACCATCTATGGAAACAAAACCATCATCACCTGAAGCGGACACTATAATATCGGCACCAGGTTGAGCACCATTACCACCCGTAGAGCCATAAGAACCAAATGGTTTAATATTTATAGTTTGTTGCGAACCACCCTTGGAACCAGGTCCCTGTATGGCCGACAATGTTACATCAAATATTTCACCATAACCGGGTGGTAAATGTTGACGTGTTGGCTGTATGTTAACAGGTGGTCCTGGATTACGCGACGCTTGGGGTTGCGGTGGACGTTGTGGCCGAGGACGACCACCGGGTTGAAACTCGGGATCATCCAATACAATACCAGGCCTTGGTTGGTATTGGGCGGGTAGTTGTGGTGGCGATGGTGTTGGACTTGGCGTTGTTGGATTTGGATGTTGGTTATTTGAGGTGGGTACGGTTTCAGTTGTAGATGTGGTAGTGGTGGTGGTAGTAGTAGTGGTTGTGGTAGTAGTATATGTATTAGTAGTAGTGGTGGGTATGGGAACAGAGGTAATTTTTGTGGGAACAATAGTACTCTTTAACTCCGTATTCAATTTTGAGCTGCTAGAACTTGTTCCCTCATATTCGGCGGAGTTTAAGGGCTTAGTAGTTATGCTAGTTGATAGTTTTGTTTTTAAGGCAGTGGATGTGGCTGTAGAAGAAGAGCTCAAAGTGGAAGAAGTTTCTTTATTTGTGGTTTTCGTGGCCACAGCTTCTAACTCTGGTGTTTTGCTGGCAGTCATAAAAATAACTTCTTCTGTAGAGGGATCAATGCCAACTGCATTCTCAGTTGTATCCATGGGCATGGGTACGTAAGTAGAAGACATATGCATTACGGTATGTACCTCAGAGCTGGTCTCTACTATGGTGGTGTAAAAATCAGACGAATGTTTTTTCTTATCGGAAGTTTTGTGTTTATTATTCTTCTTTTTAATGGGATGTTCCTCCTTTTTCGTTGTTATTGGTGGAGGTTGTAGTTCTTCTATTACCTTGTCAGCTGTATTGTTAGTGGTCTGAGTATCTGTATCATTATCGGATACCTCAATATATTGAGAATTTAAATCTTCATTTGAAAATTCCGAGTCAAATGAGTTGTCTGCCGGAGCAGGACTTTCATTGTTATCATGATAATCTTCTGCAACTGTAGGCATTTCAAGAGGTCCTGTAGCTTGCATACTAGGAACATTTCCAGATTGTTGTTCACCTTCTTGGGGCGGTTGCATTTGTGAAGAAGGCATAGGTTTGTATTGAGGTATAGGTCTACGACCTCCAATCGAAGTGGTAATTGGTGGTCTGGGTTTGTTACGATGCCAAGGAGGACGATTACTAACAAAACCAGGACGTACTGGAACAATCTGTTCGGGTATGGGAACTCCAGTAATGAAAGGTCTTTCCGGCCGATCAAAAGGAAAAGGTGGTGGTCGTATGGATGAAGGACCAGCAGGCTTTTGACCATCATATTCTACAGGCAAATTTTGCACTTCCGATATTCTAGGTGGACCACGGTTGTTAATACGACTGGCCGAGGGACGTCTCACACCTTGGGTGTTGGCATGAACATTGACATTACCATTAAGCAATTTTACAATGCCTGTTATTATGTCCTGTATATCGGGATTGGGATTTTGTCGAGGATTATGTGGAGCCAAGGTGGCAGTAGCTGCTGTCGAGATCGCAGTACTGCTGCTCGTTGGATTCACGATTTGGGACCCCGACATATGCTGTCGAAGGTCCCCATTTACTAAAAAAGGACCGGTCATAGTAGCAGCAGATGTAGCCAAATTCACCGATTTACCCTCCCGAACTTTATGAGTTGTTTCTACATTTTCCGATTGCTGATCAAAGGTACTAGTGGGTTTTATATTATATTGAAAATAACGACCAGCTGCTGCTTCTTTTTCACTCTCACCGGGAAATTGTACATTATTTGGTCCGATTTTTGGAAAATTCTCATTTAGTATAGGCAATGCTGAACGTTCTACTCGTATATGTTCACGTGTCTCATTCTCACCGCTGAACTGAGAAGGTTTGGATATTTTTTGATTATTTGGTACGGCATGGGACATTGTTGTTTCCAGTAATAGTTTTGAGGTTTTTATAAATGGATTTAAATCCATATTTTCCATATGGCTACTGGATTTTGGTGAGATTTGTGAAACATCTTGCACACCATCTAAAAAGTAACAGAAATGAGAGGGAAATTAATTAAATAAAAATTGCATTAAAATGGTAACAAATGTTTATATTAATAAATAAATAATTGAATTGATATATTTTCCATTCACACTATATTTAAATTGAAATAAATCATTAAAGTTTGTAACAACTTGTTTCAACAAACAAATTTTCCAATTAACTTTTACAAGTGTTTTCACTTTCATTTGAAAATTATAAAATATAAAAAAAAATTAATTAATAATACTGACACAAATGACTCAAGCTGGTTTTATCTGTAATATTTATAATACCAACGATTTTTTTGTTCCAAATAATTTCTTCAAATGAAAATGAAATTGTTTTTTTTATATTAAATATTTCGATTAAATACAATAAATATTGTTGATAGAAAGTAAAAGTGGTTTAACCACCAAAGACCATTTTTTAAAGCAAAAAACAACAAAAGAAATCAATGAATATGAATGATGTTGCAACTTCCACAGACATTTCATGGCTGTAAAAACAACAACAAGGTATTAAAAGTTAATTGTGGTAATGGGTTATAAATGAATCATAAATGGTGTTTCAATGACATTTTTGCAAAAACGACATTACTAATCGAAACGGAAATTCATAAAATGAAGCTGTGTTTGAAGGTTGTAATTGAAAAAAATATTTAAAAAAATCACTCATACACTTACAGGAACGCATGTAAAACATTATTAACAATAAAAACCCTTAAAATTAACTATTTATAGTAATTAAATTAGTTATTTAAACATTAAAAACATTGTAATTTTTTTTGCTTATCTTACAGATAACATGTACATATCTCCTAAAACAAAATTGTTAGTTCCACTACACACATGTTTACCAAACGAATTTAACAAAACCTACGCAAAATATTTTTTTTAAATTAAAACAAAAAAAACATTCATTTAAGGCAAATAAACATGAAATAAGAAAATAAAAAACCATGAAACATTAAACATTTTTTACAATGCCTTTTTGGTGCGATTAAACCACAAGAAAAAAAAACTTTAACTTTCTATTTCACTTAAAATAACAGAAATACTGTTTAAGCTCAAAAAATGTTTTAGTTAAATTAAATAAATATTTCCAATATTTTTATGGCAGTTTTTTCTTATTTTAAGTTGAAGTTGCAAAATATGCTAGCTTTTGAAAGCTTTCAGTTATGAAGCAATTTCAGAAGCAGATAATTCTGCTTTAAAATTTACTTCAAAGAACTTGCCAAATACAAATAAATGATTTACTGAGCATTCAAAGCCTGAAAGTACAAGGTTATCATAACCATGAAGCACGCCATGCACCTCAAAAGTCCTCGCTTGTATGCCAGCAATTCTCCTTTCTTTGAGCACTTCGAACCAAACAGTGACCCTTGTGACAAGGTCGAACAGGAACTTCAAAAGACTTCCCAAATGTATGACTTCCTGAGCATTCAAAGCCTTAAAGTACAAGGCTGTCATGAACATCTAACCATGCACCTCAAAAGCTCTCGATAGTACGCCAGCAATTCTTTTTTCTTTGAGCATTGTGAACCAAACAATGACCCTCGTGAAAAGGGTCTTAAGAGGACTTTCCAAATACAACTAAATGACTTCATGAGCATTCAAAGCCTTAAAGTACAAGGTTGTCATAACCATTGAGCCATGCACCTGAAAAGCTCTCGATAGTACGCCAACAATTCTTCTTTCTTTGATCACTGCGAACCAAACAGTGACCCTTGTGACAACGTCGAACAGGAAGTCGGATCCTACCTCTGCTCGAAATGGCCTATTCAAATACTCAAAGATTCATCTAGCAGAGCTTTTGTTCAGAGGCGTGATGCCATGCACTTATTAGAACAGGAAGTCGGATCATACCACTGCTCAGTCTCTCGGCTAAATGGCAAATTCAAATACTCAAAGATTCATCTAGAAGAGCTTTTGTTCAGAGGCGTGAAAACTTTTATAAATGAGCAGTGGACCGAGCAGCATCATAGGGCCTAAACGGCAGCGTTGGGAGAAAAACAAATTCTCTAGAAAACTTCACAGGCGAATACTAAACTTCGAAAGCTAACAGAAGCCATACAGCGAAGACTCTAAGAACCCGCTGATTAGAGGCATCATTAGTGACGATACCATCTTCCAGGACAAATGGATGAAAATCAGTCTATTAGAAAATCTTAAAAGATTAACGAACGAACAGATGTGCTGCTCAAACTAGCGGAAACATCTCTTGTATAACTGTGACCCTAAAGGTGCATACATGAAGGGGGTCATGATTGACTTCACTAGGTAGAGGCAACGTATTTATTCTACGGATTCGATAGTACTTTTAAAGCTGTGAGTGACCCTACACCAAACGTATGGACGGAAATAAATTAGATGTCGCCGCTGACACTGATGAACAGAAAAATTCCCAATCAAGCTCAAGCTTTCTTAGAGAGCTCATTAATAGCCAGTGTAAGGTGGAGAACGAAGGCGATCTTCTAAATACATATATGTTTTAAAGATGACGACGTAAAAGCCATCTATGACCCAGACCATAGTGAAGCTGATACGAGTAAATCTTCGCCTTTTCTAAAGCAACTTTGCCTGCATTGCTACTCCGCCTTGGAAATAAAGGGAAGGATATAGTATTGACACAAAAGCCGTAGACCGATAGCGTAAATATACTTGGGCCCAATATAACGAGCGACAATCTAATGTATGTAAAAACACAGATAAAACCAGGTCTTATGTAAAGGTTTAGAATCCTTTAAATATCTTCCATCTATCTGCGTACTTTGTAAGCATTCTCCAGCTATATTGGCGCACAATAAAGCTAACCGCAATGCACAGTTTATTCCATTCATAATTCGATTTAAAGAATATTATTAAATATTAATTTGGATTGCGGAAAAACTGTGGATCGTATGTTCAAGCGTCTTCGAACTTGATTATATTCCACATAATATAACATTCGTTTATAATTTCTATGAATTATAGTGAAAAATCCCATTAACCCACAGATCAAACAAAAGTTTTATCTAGCAGCGGAAAATGCTTTGGGGCTTTAATAGACTAATAAAAAGTCTATTCGGGTGTATTGGGGATACCCATACATATATTTTTTTAAATTTTTTTACCATATATTTAGGTATACTTCCTTTTAGGAAAATAATATTAAAAAACAACGACACGCCGAAACAGATACCACGATAATCAGATACTCACTTACACGTGAAAAATAAATAAACACGAAAATAATATGAACATATTCAACAACCTACGACAATATGTTTTTTATTCACTCGTATTAAAAGTTCGAAATTATACTCGTAAATATGCGATTATCTTTAACTCACTTAAAATGAATACACATTAGACTTGCCCCTAAAAAAATAACATCTTTATAGATCTGTCTTTACTTCAATGTCAAAACTATGAGGTTGATTATATAAAAAATATAAATGTAGTTTTCAAAAGTTGTGCAAATAGTGAATATAGATCTATTTTTGTATATCTAAAACAAATCTATTTTTTAAGGGCCGGTCTATTGTACATGCAGGCCTAAAAACTTGCACGAAAAGTGAACCTTTTCTTTGTGGTTTCTGTTGGTTTCTTATGAATCAGCCACAATAAAAAGTCATTAATATTCCTAGCGGCAATAATTACTTAAATTTGTCTTTATATTTATTTTAACTACAGACATTTACTTAAACACTAAATACAAACATATGTACATATATCCATTTAAATGTATATACCACATACATATACATATGTATATGTATGTAGTACAAAAGACAGAGTTACGAAATCGAAATTAAATAATAATCGTAGTAAAACTAAAATAATTGTTAAAATATTTTAAATTAAAGTTAAATGACAATTATGGTTATAATTTTGTAGTGCCAAATGCGTTTACTTATTATTAAATTTGTAAGTTTTTGTTGTTAAACAAAATATAAACAAATGTTATGTAATTTTTGTTAAAAATATGTAATTGACACTTATAAGTTAAATTAATTATAAGTTAAATTAATGCAAAATGTAAATAATCCATAGATATTAGGAGAGATCAAAAACCTCAATGAAAAAATGTCAGGTACAAGATAATGGTTAAGTGGATCAATTGACAAAAACTACTGGGAATCTGTTGCAACAGATTCCATTTTAAGATATATGATCTAATGCCTACATATTCATAAAACAAACTTCTAGAATGTTTTAAATGTAGATAATGTATGAATATGGCGAGAACTCTTCCATGGGTAAACTTCATATTATATGAGTACCAAGCCACTCAGAACTTAAAGAGAATGTCTCCTTAATAGTTAATAAGGAATCCAAGCTAAGAATCTAACTTAAAGAGTCCTTAGTCCTTGGAAACCTGTTAAAAATACGAACTTACCTACGGTATATGTGTATATTTATAATGGAGACGGAGAGAAAATACATCAGACAATATTGAATGCATCGGTCAAAAGACAGTGATTTCAGCTAACGTCTTACCACCATAATTGCTCTTATTCATCTTTTGTCACGGATGTACTCTTTGTAATCAAAGGTGAGGATACTCGTGAATATAGTGTCCCCTTTGTAAGCGAGAGAGTGGACACTTCATAGAAGCTTTTTGTCTGTCTCTTCGTAATATATGCGAACAAGCACATGTTACAATAGCTAGTCGCCTGAGCAGTCGATGGCTAGGGCTAACCTTAAGTGGTAGGTTTAATAGATAGTTCGGGACTGTCCGACCGAACTGCTGGGTGACACAAATATTTATGTATATGTGTTACCCATTAAAATTTCAGATCTCTACCATAAAGGGAGCAATTAAGGGTCTAAAGATAGAAAAACCATAAAACACAACCCAGAGAATTATGTATTTCGTTTATTTTTAACTCATATTATGCGTTGAATATTTCCATATCCATAGAAAGTATCCGAAATAGTTATGATAAATAAGTCTGAGAAAAGTTGTCAGTCATACCGTGCAATTAGCCTGTTGTCAATACTCTCCAAATTATTT